GTATGTTTGGAGTTGTTTCTACATCTTCAATCTATTCCATTGATCTTTGGGTCTTTTTTTTTGTCCAGTACCACACTATTTTTATCACCATAGCTTTATAGTATAATTTCATGTCAGAGATTGTGATGTCCCTTGTCTTTCCTTTGTTGCCTGGAATTGCCTTTCCTATTCTAGGTCTTATTCTAAATGTATTTTAGGATTGTCTTCTCTAATCCTGTGAGATACGCTATTGGAATTTTAATTAGAATTGTATTAAATCTGTATAACAGCTTTGGAAGTGTGGCCATTTTCACTATATTGGTGCTTCTAACCAAGAACAAAAGTTATCTCTTCATTTTCTGATATATCTTCAATCTCTTTTTTCAGAGTACTATAGTTTTCAATGTAGAAGTCTTTTACATCCTTTGTTGGATTAATTCCTAGATATTTCTCTCTTTTTTGATATAATTATGAGAGATGTTGTTTTCCCAATTTCTTTCTCAATTGAGTTTGTTATTTGTGTATAGGAAGGCTATTGATTTTTGAGTGTTAACTTTATGTCCAGCTATGAAACTGAATTTTCTTATTAAATTTAACAATGTTTTAGTGGATTTTTGAGGGCCTTCTATGTAGAGTATCATGTCATCTTCACATAATGACAACTTAATTTCTTCCTTTCCTATCATTATTTCTTTTATTTATTTCTCTTGTCTAATTGCTCTGGCTAGTGTTTCCAGAACTACATTGAGTAAGAATGGAGAAAGTGGAAAACCTTGTCTTGCTTCTGATTTTATTTTATTTATTAATTTTATTGAGGAAGAAATAGCAATGAGACAGTTTCAAAACAAGTTAGTAGGACATCACATATTGTTGTCTTTGTGGTAGTTATTCATAGTACAAGATGCAGACATAATATCCTGTCCAAACACTATTCGTACAAATCTTTATTCTCATTGTCTTAAGCGAAAGTAGCTGTATATCTATCCTAACTATTTTGTATATACAGATACAAAATGGTCTTTCATTTATATCCCCGTTTTGTGTTTATTTTTGTCAGAGGTTGGTATTCCATTGTCGTTTAAATATTGTAGGTGCGTGAATTCAGTGAAATAATTCAATATAGTTGCTTCTGATTTTAGAGTGAAAGTTTTCAGTTTTTGTCCATTTAGTATAATGTTGGATGCTTGTTTGTTACAGATGGTTCTTATCAGATTGAGGTAAAGACCTTCTATTTCAATTTTCTGTAGGATTTTTATCATGAATGAGTGTTGAACTTTCTCAAAAACTTTTTCTGCATCTATTGATATGATCATATGGTTTTGTCTTGGCTCTGTTAATATGGGGGCATTACATTTGTTGATTTATGTATGTCACAGTATCCCTGCATCCCTTGGATAAGTCCTACTTGGTCATGGGTATAATCTTCTTAATGCTTTGCTTCTTTGCCAGTATCTTACTGAGGATTTTGGCATCTATGCACAATAGGGAATTTGACCTGTAATACTCTTTATTTATTTGGGTCTTTCTCCAGTTTTGAACAAGTATAATGCTTGCTTCCAGGAATGAATTTCAGAATATTTCTTCCCTTTCAATTTCTTTAAAGAGTTTGAGAAGTAGTGGTATTAGGTCTTCTCTAAATTTCTTGTAGAATTGAGCAGTGAATCTGTCAGGGCCTAGGCTTTTCTTAGTTGGTGAGTTTTAAATTGCATCTTTGATTTGATTGATTGATAATGGTTTATTTAGGAATTTTATATCTATCTTTGGTAATCCATATGTGTCTAAGAATCTGCCCATTTTTCCAGCATTTTCCATCTTATAGAATGCAAGTTTTCATAGTAGGTATAGATGATCATCTGGATTTCTGCAGGGTTCATTGTGATTTCATCCTTTTCATTCCTAATTTCATGGATTTGGGTTTTTTATTTCCTTTTATTGATAAAGTTGGATAGGGGTATGTCAATTTTATTGAAACTTTCAAAGCACCAACTCTTCAATTCATTGATTCATTCTATATTTTTAGTCTCCAATGCATTAATTTCTGCTCTGATCTTCATAATTTCATCCCTCATATGAGCTTTTGGCTTAATCTACTGTTTTTTCTCTAGAAGTCTGAGATTCACCATTACATTGTTTATTTGTGCTTGTTCTGTTTTCCTGATATGCATATTCACTGCTGTAAATTTCCCTGTTTGAGTTGCTTTCATTGTGTCCCATAAATTCTTGTATGTTGTATTGTTATTATCATTTATTGTAGAAACTATCAAATTTCTTCTTTAATTTTCATCTGTTGTTCAAGAGGGTACTATTTACTTTCCATGTGTTTATGAAGTTCTTGTGTATTGTTTTGCTAGTGATTTCTAATTTCATTGCACTATGGTCTAACAATGTACATTGGATAAATTCAGTTCCTTTGCACTTACTTAAACATGTTCTTTGAGCTAGTATATAGTTTATTTTGGAGATCAACACTTGTACAACTGAGAAGAATGTGTATTCTGATGTTGTGGGGTGGAACACTCTGTAGACATCTACTAAGACCATTTGTTTAAAACTTTGGTTCAATTTTAATATTTCATTGTTGATTTTTTATCTAGTTGATCTATTTTTTGAGACAGTAGGGTATTGAGATTCCTCAATAGAATTATATTAGTGTTTATTTGATTTTTCATGCCCATTAATATTTGTTTAATATGGTTGGGTGCATTGGTTGCATATATATTTATGATTGTTATCTCTTCCTCTTGGATTGCTCCCTTTTCAAGGATATAGTGGCCTTCTTTATCTTTCTTAATTAGCCTTGGCTTGAAATCTACTTTGTACTCAAATAGAATAGCCACCCCTGCTTTTTTTCTGGATTCTTGTTGCATGGAGTATTATTTTCCATTTTTTGACTTTCAGCCTATGAATTCATCTTTTTTTTTTATGTATTTGGTACAAGGTCTACAGGGTGTTCAGTGTCTCATTATGTAGATCCTACTCATAGTGATCCTCCTGTTTTCAGCCTCCCAACAACTGGGATTACAGGTGCATGCCACCACGCCGTCTCAACAATGTCTCAGCACAGCCCGGGGCAGGGCCCACACGGCATGCCAGGGATCGAACCCCAGCTGCTGCATTCTGCCTAAGCAGGTGCTTTAGCCTGCTGAGCTACCTGACTGGCCCATGAATTTCTTTTTGAATTAAATGTGTTTCTTGTGTATTGGTGGATCTTGCTGCTTGATCCATTCAGTCAGTTTGTTTCTTTTAATGAGTGAGACCTTTAACATTGATGGCTGTAACTGGTATGTACTGACTTATCTTTGTCATATTAATTTCCTGTTATTGGGTCCCCCTCTTTTTCCTCTTCCTTTTGTTTAAAAGTTTGTCTTGCCTGGTAGATATCTTCTGTTGAGATTCATGGAATTGTACCCCTTGTTATTCTTTCTAAAATGCCCTTCAAAACATTTTGGAATGCTGGTTTGATGGTCATAAATTTCTTCAGACGCTATTTGTCATGGAAGTATCTTATTTCTTCATAGGTTCTGAAAAATAGTATTGCAGGGTACATCAATCTGGGTTGAAATTTGTTTTCCTTTAGAACTTGAAATACTTCACTCCAAGATCTCCTTGACTTGAGTGTTTGTGCTGAGAAGACAGTTGTGATTATGATGGGCTTTCCTGATGGGACTTGTTTCTTTTTCCTCACAGCTTTTAAGAGTCAGTTCTTGGGCTGAATTTCTGGAATCTTGACTATCATATGCTTGATTTTATCATAGATTTTTTTAATCATTGCTAAGTACAACTCTATATTCCTCACTTATCTGCATGTCAAATTATTTTTCTTTACCAGGGAATTTTTGTTTCCATGACAACTGTGAAGAGTACCTTCATATAACTTGTTATCTTCTGCTTTTTTATCAACTCCAATAAATCTTAATTTATTCTTCTTTGGCTCATCTAGCAGCTGCTGTACTATTTTTCCGGTTATAGTAACACACCTCTGGACTTATCAAATGGAGCTCATAATCATTAAAGACAATAATTTTCATTATATGTTGTGTTCTTTACTTCACTCAGCTCAAACACATACATACAGATATATGTACATTAATGCACATAATTTGTGAGTGTGTGGTAGACCTGGAGTAATATGGGTGCTCAGTCTCTAACCTAGTGATTAGAGAAACTGGATCTTCCTTTCCCTAAAAATGTGATGAGAAAAAACACATTATATGCTGCAAATTTCAAGAACTTACCTGTCACATGGATGGTTGTTGAGTGGGAATTAATGAGATGAGAAGAGACATTTGCAGAACAGCGGTATGAACCATTGTCACCTGGAAGCACTGGTTCAAAATGTAGCATAAAAATCGACTTATTGAGCCCTCCTTGCCAACTCGTGTATAGGCGAAGGTTGTCCTCAAAAGGGTAACAGTTTGTTCCATTCAACTTGCACCAAGTCACGTTAGGTCTGTGGCCACAGTATCTCACAGGGCATTCCATTTGAAAAGATGTTCTTGCTGAAACAGTGTGTTCTGACTGTCTCCTAATGTTAAGTTGTACAGCACAGGACTGCTCCCCTAAAGGATGAAAAGAAATTAAAATAAAATCTGTTCTTCTGAAAGGATTCTCTTTATGCCACTCCAACATAGCTTGACAAGTATTTCTCAAGTATTATTTTACAATTTTCCTAGATAATATTTTCTAGTAACTAGACTTCACTAGCCCAACGCCTGCTACATAAGAAGTATATAAAATATTTTTATTTACTCTTTTGAATATTTGCTTATATAAACATCAAATCAATTACTTTTCTCAAGAAAAATAATATAATAATAAAAACTTGCTTTATAGAAAATGAAGAAGTAAAGAGCTTGCCTATAGTAATACGCTAATAATTAAGAGAATTAATATTTAAAGGCATACTCTTCTCATTACTCTATATTTTATTAACCATTAGTTCATATTACTACTTTTATTTTTGTTTGTTTAAGAAATTGAATCCAGGGCTTCCTTATTGAGCTACATCCTCAAACATTCTAATTAACTAATTCATTCATTTTAATTTTGGGAGGGTCTTCATAAGTTGCTCAAGCAGAAACTGAATTCATGATCCAACTGTCAGCCTTCCAGAGTGCTAGGATTACAAGAATGCAATAATTATGTCCATAGTGGTAAGACTAAGCCAATATTTAATGACCTTAAATTGTTTCAGTGTTTCAATTTTTGAGGCAAAAAAGTGTGCAATCTGTTTAACTAAAGGAAAAAAAATATATTTGAAAAGTTACTTCAAAAAATGTTTTGTCAGGCCAGCAAGCCAGCCCAGCAGAATAAAGCCCCTGCTTAGGCAGAGCACAGGGACCAGGGTTTGATCCAGCATGCTGAGCTGGTGACTGAGCCCAGATGTGGTGGTCCATGCCTGTAATCCCAGTATTACTGCAGAGGTTGAAAACAGGAGGGTCACTATGAGTCTGAGCTGCATAGTAAGACCCTGTGTTAAATACATAAAATTAAAATTTAAAAAATAAATAAATAAGGACAGGTTTTGGCCCTGAGTGCCACATACCTCTCTACTTACAAGAGTGTGCTGCTCTAATTTTATACCCTTGCCACTATGAATGTTCTCACTCCTAGGTATCTCTTAATACCTAACAAATCTCTTACTATTCATGTTTTATCAACTTAGGTTCCAAATAACTGAAGTATAATTTAATTTCTAGGAGCCAGATAAAGACTTAGAGACCTGCAGAAAACGTTACCAACCTCTGATTACTTATTGAAAACTATGTGAGTTCTCAAACAAGTTTACTTTAAGACTTCCTGTTTCAGTTGCTTTCAAAAATTCAAAATAAAAATGAAAGCAAATCAAAAACTAAATTATAGTGATTAAGTATTCAAAAAGTTGAACAGAAAGAGTAAGACAGTTTACCTACAAGGAAGTACCTAGCAATAAATAACTGGATGTGGTTAGATTTATGATAAAAAGAAACAAGGAGACTGGAGGCAAAGGCCAAGTGAAACCCTGCTCTCAAACATTGTTACCTGACATAGCCTCTTAGCTTCCCTTTTAATTTCATGGATAAGTCAACACTAGATCATGGAGCTTATAACTATACCAGAATTATGAAAAATAAGACAGTTATAGACAATGGTATTTAATCTTCAGGAAGCTTCCTTCTAATTGGGAGAAAATATTACCTAACAAGGGCGTCACTTTTCTGGAAGAAACTTTCTATCTAACATTCTTTTCTCCTTTCAAATTTACCTGAGCTGAAACCAGTGTTTAGAGACTTGTATGTGATGGTTGGACGACATAGGAAAATATAAGACATGACACCTGCTTTGGGGGGGATTTGTCTTCTAAAAAGAAACAAGGTTGCATGATGAATGGCAAAATAACTCTGTAAAGATACACAAACCATCTCGAATGGCTATGCATAGGATTAACCTCAGCCAGGGATTTGGGGCTAAGCTTTCCTGGGAAGTTTGTTTTTGAGCTGAACCTCGGGGACCAAGCACTGCATTTATAATCAGAGAGTTGACATGGGACAGGTTTTTCTTTTCTCTCTCTCTCTCTCTCTCTCTCTCTTCAGATAGGATCTCACTATGTACTTCAGACCTACCTTGCACCTATATGAGAACTCACTGCAGTTCCAGACAGGCCTAGAACTCACTGCAATCCTCCTGCCTCATCCTCCAAGTGTTGGGGTTGCAGGTGTGTGTCACCATGCCCAAAAGGAGATTTTAGGAATGAAAGCAATGTAAAACAAAGGCTTTCAGTCCAGAAAACTCTCATGGTTAATTCAAGGAACTGATACATGGTCTTCTGCAGGAGATACAAAACCACTGGCTGTTTCAGAATAAATGTAATAAATACCAGGGGTGGGAAAAATTTAACTTTTCCTGTCCACCGTGAGAAAATGTAATATGAAATGTTGAGGACATTTATAAAGTCATGGAAATGGCTAAAAATGAGAGTACTCCCTTGATGGCTAATACATTGCTTGAATTTAGGATAGTCATACAATTTCAACAGCACTGAATTTCTTCAATTTAAGGTAAAGGAGTGAAACAAAAGTGCTGAACTTCTTTCCCATCACTCCTAACACACAAACACACAATTTCACTTTCTTCAAAGTGTGACTTGCAGTGTAAAGCCATGTGTGGTTCAAAATTTCTATCCTGACTATAAAATGTTGCTCTACTATTGAGGCAAAGAACTATTAGCTGAGGCTAGTAGCACAATAAACCGTGTCTTCTCTTCGGTGTCCTGAAATCACATGCGTGGGAGGAGTGCACACAGCTGATGAGGGGCAGAGGGAAGAGCAGCCTGGTCTCAGGAGCGGTCCCCCTGAGTTGGAGAGTGGCTATGGAAACACCATTGTAGTTCTTCAACATTCTAATCAGCATGACACAGATGATTGACTCACCAGCCGGCACAGGGATTTTTCTTTATTGAAAGAGTACATAGTCAATAATGCTTGCAGGCATTAAAAAGCCATCAGGGTATTCCCTCTGTGCACAAACAAGATGTTACACTTCCTGTCTCTCAGAAACTACAACCAATGTTTGCAAGGATGATTCAGTGAATCAAGTGGCACAATTATAGCTTTCCATCTGACAAGTGCATTAACAAGTTTTTCTGCCTGTCTGAGTTACGTACATCCGTCCTGTAACACTCAGGACCCAAGAGAATTGTATCAAACATGTTCTGATAAGGGATGAAAATCAGTTGTTTCGGTTGTGGCTCAGTTACCAGCTCCCCTTCATTATTTCTCCCGCTGTTTGCTTCAACATTCATATCTGACAGTAGGGAATTTTCAATGCCAAAAGTAATCTTTACAAAGGAAAAAACCTCAACTACTTATTTTTATATGATGAATATCTGTTTTCATGTCACTATAGATTAGAAAGCTTTGTTTTATAAATTCTTAAGACAACCCTGCATATGTATGGCATGGATATTCTATGGCCTGGTGTGTGAGACCCAGGATGTACCTTTGAGCAACCCCTGCCTCCATATTGAAAATTATTTTCAGAAACAATCATAAGGTGGGGAAAAAAAGACTTCTTGAAATGGCTAGAAAACATTTTCTTGCATTAAATTTTATATATACAAATGTGAAAATTAATAAACATTTGAAAAGTACCAGAATACAAAAAGGAAAATGCACAGCTACTTAGTAATTTGAATGGTATACACTTTGAAGCAGTATGATACAGTGTGATACAGTAGTTTATAAAAATAATTATCCACTAACTCATAGGTGAATTTTATTAAACTAACAAGTGAATCTTTATTAAAACTAAAATTCTACATATTATAATTAGGGCAACTACTAAATTGTACCACTAATGTAAAGTTTACTTAATTCACTCTGCAATTTTAAAACCATGAAGTCTTTAAAAATAATATCAACCAATAAAATACTCCATGTGTGAACTAAGTTTCCAGGTAAAAATATTGCAACCCATAACCTGTTCTCTGTTCTATTGTTTTAAACATTAAAGACAAATAAATTCCAACACAGCTGCACACAAAGACAGAAAGAAAAGTTTCTGATGTACCTCTTGCCTCTATAATCATTGTGTTGTTATTTTTTTATTTAAAATGGACTTCAGGGCCAGTGAGATAGCTCAGTGGACTAAGCACCTGCTTAGGCAAGCACAGGGACCAAAGTTTGATCCCTGGCACCACATGCTGTGCCATTGCCCCTAATCGCCAACCCCTTGGCGTGCTGAGCAGGCCATTGAGACGGCATAATGGCACATACCTGTAATCCCAGCACTGGGGAGGCTGAAAACAGGAGGATCACTATAAGTCCAAACTGTGTAGTGAGATGCTGTACCAAATACATAAAAAAAGGACTTCTTGAATATAGAAATATATAGTACCACACATCCAGGGGATAAACTCCAGTGATTCTGAACGTGATGAATTTATTCTCCAAACAAATAAAAGTAGCTACATGCATATGTGTTCGTGACTAACAGAGATGCTGCAACCAGGAATTTCTCTGAGTTAACATGTATATAGAATATAATTTTATTAAGGGATATGTACTAAAATATGTTAGCACAAAGCTTACATACAAATTATTAAAACTCAACAGTAACACAAATCATTTAGAACCTAGACCAAAAATATTTGGGGAAGGGCTATATTTTATCACAAACATTCAGAATAGGTAGGACATGGTAATAATTGAAAGTAGATAGTACAGACAATATGTCCCCCTGTTGTCCACACCCAGGCATATAGACATTGTGCTGTCCAGGCCAGTTTAGGAATATGACAGTTTCTAGTGCAAAGAGTAGGTAGAAAATGTCTTGTACCATGCTTCACTTTTGTAAGTAGATATTTACTTCATTTTATCAAACATGAGAGTTTCCATATTCTCAAGAGAAAGAGAGCCCTTCTGGCTAGATCAATCAAGAAATGCTTAATGGAGGAGAAGGAATCTCTTACCACAGACCCACCTCCAGGAAAACTGAGTCATCTTCCCATGTTAACAGCATTCCTACTCCCTAAAAAATCCCCTACACTACTCAGTGTGACATGCATCACATTATTACAAATACCCCTGGGTTAGGTATTTGTTTTCTGTCTGGTCTACCACTTCCTTGATTGAGTGATACCTGGCTCTGAAGAGGGAGATAACTTTGCGGAAGTATGAAGGTGCTGGGTGTGGTAAATTACACCTGTAATCCCAGCACTCAGGACACTGAGGCAGGAGGATCATTGTGAGTTCAAGGTCAGCCTGGGCTACATAGTGAGTTTAAGACCAGTTTGAATTATGTAAGAAGACCCTGACTCCAACAAACAAACAAAACCAAACCCTGAAATATATGAAGGTGAGAAAGCATTATTTGTTCTGAGACTGAAAAAGAAAAGTTCATGAAGCAAAGAATACCTTCTTCATATCTGTTTTTATGTGTTAAGGGCCACTGTGAAGACACAGATCAGCCCTTCGAGAGGTCATCTAATAGGCACTGAGATGAAAAACATGGACATATCCAACTACCCTGCAGCAGTTAAGTCATAACCACTGAAGAAAAACTAAGCTTTGTAAGTATCCACTATGGAAAGGACTGATTTCTGCACACTCTGGGTTGATACTCAAAATAGTCAACAAATGTTGTTTCATTGTAACACTGTTTCCAAGCAGTCAGCCAGAAAGGGATACCAGCCATAAACAACTGCATAGTCTAGGAGCTTCCAATTGAGTAAGGATGTAAGTCCTACCAGTAGCTAGAGGCAGTAGATTTTTGTGAAACATTGTAGCTTTAAACAATAGCATTGTAATCCTAATCCTTCTGTAAGATAACATTATTTTTTTAAAGACTATGTATCTTGATTATAACTATTAGTGTAAGGAATGTCCCTAGTGAGTTTCCCTATCCCTCCACTAAAATATTCTTACAAATATGTGTAAAGCCTATAGTGTTTACATTCATTGAAAGATATGAATGACCTAATTCATAGTGTTAGAGATGATAGTGTTAGAGATGGAAATGAAATGTGAACAATAATTTGGAAAACTAAAATGATTACTGAAGATATAATAATATATTGATAATTTTCGGTCACCTCAGCCAAGATTCTAGCTTCTCTCAGAGAATATCACAGATTAAAAGAAATACTTCAGATTCATGCTGAAGAGGTTGCAGAGAGAAGGCTTCCCACCTTGAAAGAAAAAGGCTCCAGACAATGTGGGTGCTGTGTTCTGCCTACTTTAGAAGGCTGAGATGGTGTAGGGAAGCAAAATAATTTCTTCCCTCACAAAGTGGAGTTTCATTGTGCCATGACTAAGCTGTGGCTCATGCAGAGTGGCGGCAAATCTGTGCACAGCAATGGTAGCCTTGTAACCACAAAGATCCATGCAGGATATCAAATCAGACACCATGAGGAAACCACACATAGAGCAACAAAAAGCCCAATGGCTTCCCATTAGGAGCCAGATGAATTGCATTCCCAGAATCAGAAATGTGGTGCCACAAGGCATTGATTAAATATTCTACTTTAGCTCTGTGGGCACTGAACCCACTTCATAAGACAGATGTTCCCAAAAGTGTTTAGAAATGCTTGCAGACATTTGAGTAGGTACAATGCACACATAGATATGTTAAAAATCAGAACTCTAATTGTAAAAGGTAGTCACTGGTACTTTAAAGATGACTCTGTGGGATACAAAGAAAACTGAGCTTGCTGTGAAATCAGAGTACACTCAATACGTGCACTTGACCACATGTAGTGTAATGCAGATCACAGACCCAAGATGGCATGTGACAGTAGATATTGCACATCATTCTCTGAAGGATAATTCTCTTGCATATTTTCTTTAGACAGAGCTAGGCATCTCTCTAAACACATACAAATATGTGCTCACGCATACATTCACACACACACACACACACACACTCACTCACTCATCTGATGAAAAGTTCACTTAATAAGAAATGGAACTAGAGTGCTCACTTCAGCAGCACATATACTAAAATTGGAATGACACAGAGACGATTAGCATGACCCGTGTACAAGGATGACCCACAAATTTATGAAGCAGTCCATATTTTTATACGGATAACCCACTATTATTATAGACTACTGGACTATATTGGATTACTTTGCTGAATTCATGCACCTACAGTATATGAATGGCAATGGAACACCCATCTCTGACAAAAGTAAACAAAAAAGGGAGACATAAATGAAGGACCATTTTGTAGTGAAAAAAATTATATATA